GAAGAATTATGTATCAAGAAGATAATTCTATTATCATTTCTACAGCTAAAATTACATGGTGGTAACTTCCAATTGTTGAATATTAAATCTAGAGTTTGTAGAATGAAATAGTTTCTTGGTAGATTGAATAGCTTTTTTAGACTGGGTTTACAGTAGAAATTCAATGCCATCCATATTCTCTAACCTAAAAATTCAACACTTGTTTATGTAGGTTATTTGAAAGTATTCTTTCTTTTGCTTGGCGCAGGATTTTCATCAAAAAAATCACCCAGTTCTGGTAAGACAACTTCATGGGATCAAGACAACTATGCTCCAAAGCCATTACCTCCAGGGACACATGGCTTCCTGCCCTGGCGTACTGCTGAACGTGCAAAGCACCATAGGTAATGTATACTGAAAGTGTTAAATTTATGTGTGTGTGTGTGTGTCCACATATATAGTTGGGGTTTTGAAAAACTGAATTCACAAAATACATCTAAGTAATACCATGTTACCCCGAAAATAAGACCCTGTCATATATTTTTTGAACCCCGAAATAAGCGCTTGGACTTATTTTCAGGGCGGTCTTATTATTTTGGGGCACATGGAGTAAGACGGGGCTCCTCTTGCCGTCTTACCTGATTTCAAGTTCTGTCTCCATAACCTAACCAGAGGAAATGGCAGAGACCAACTGTGCATGCGTTTTAATATTTTCGGGGAGGGCTTACTTGGGGGGAGGTATTTTAGCGCATGCACACAAAAGCCCGATTGGTCATATTATCCAGGGAGGGCTTATTTTGGGGAAAACAGGGTAGTTTCACAGATTGTAGCTAGACCCTAAACTGCAGCACAATATTGAGAGTATATGCACTCAATCAAAGGAATTAAAAATAACATTCCTGAAATATAGTCCAGCCAGACTATAAAAAATTAACAGATAAGAATTAAACATCTATTAAAATCACACAAAAGAAATGACATCAATATAAACCACAATATTTTTACAAACACAGTGAAAACTTATATAGTTTATAAAAACCCTAAATTCTATCTGCTAGAACAGATTTTATTGCAGTCATTTGCTAGAGTTCCTCTAAAAGCAAAATAAAAGTTTACACCATACAAAATAAAGGAAATAATAAAAAATAAATAGCTATATAGTTGATGTGATATTAGGTCATTGTGATTTTAATGGACAATAAAACACACTTTGGCTACATTCAAAGAAACAATCATTCTGGTCAGCTAACAGAATGGATCTGAATTGCTTGAAAAGGAAATGCAATGCAATTGTATGTCTTTATAAAATATGTAAATCATCTTCTGTATGTCATATCTCTCTTAAAATTGAGCCACTTATGTTCAAAGTATTTTAATTCTTTCACCCAAATTCACTCAGTCACTTCTCTTTTCCCACCGGAATAACAGCATCCAATTTTTGTACAGTAGATTTGGCATTGAGTCATTTGACATTCAGTTGATAAGGATGTTGCTTCTCTGATTCTTGCTGGAAACAGTAGGGATAAATGGCAGTCTGCTGGAGAAAAAGAAATAATAGTCTTTCATGATCCACACTTCATCATCATTACCAAGTTCTTGACATTCTGATGTTTAAGAAGTATGGCTTCTTGTTTACATTGCATTCTATAGCTAAGGGTTTTTTTTTAAAAAAAATGTATGTATTTATTGTGGAGATCTGCATTTATAATAGATAGGATGGTGATGCTAAAGGTGAGAGGTTAACTTATATGTATTGAAATATATTCATGATCAAAGTCTTATGAGAAAATAGTATTTACTTTATTGTATTGATAGATTTAAATCTTTGGCTACTGCAAATGTATTTTATTTTTAGATCTTTTCAAAATACCATTTTTTTTGTTTTAGGGCTTCATCTGCAAAAAACACCCATGAATTTCCATTGCAGATACAGGTAAGTAAAATGAATTCTAATCAACAAATTAAACTTTTATAATTGAATTTTTGAAGAGAACTTTATTCAGAAATATTTTAACAAGTGTTACATAATTTTGACTGTTGACTTATTGTCAACTTTGCCAAATATTATACCATTTATTTATAAAGTGGGACAATAGAATTAGAGCTAATACAGTTATATTTGCTTTATATACTCAGACAGGTATTCCTGTGACAGTGACTGTAGAAAGTGCTTCTGCTTCTGCATCTGAAACTGAGACAGAGGGTGCCATGGACAATATGATTTGCAGAAAGGATGCTACAGAATCCTCCAAATTAACCAATTTAAAACAATGGCATCAGTTACAGGTATGGCTTAACAATTTATAAAGCAATTATTAAATTAATAGCAATATTATGGAAATTATCCCAATAAGATTGCAATATCCTTTTTTTAAAATGTGGATCTTAAATGAAGTGTAGATGTTTAATAAAGATTAATATCTTCATTTCATTTAATCTTGGTGAGGGATTACAAAGTTACACAATTTGGAATAGTATCAGTTTTTCCTGTGACATTTTAAGTGAAAGAATACACATGTAAGTATTGCTTAATTATTGGGAAAAGAGATATGATTTTTTTTCCGCCCTGGACAACTCATTATAATGGAACTTGTGGATGACTTTGGGGGAAAAGGGGAAGAGATGCTGCCTAGGAAAGAGAAAGAAGGACTGGATGGGGCATGAATGGAGACTCCGGCTCCACCTGCAGACACACAAAAAAAGTGGCACGAAAGAAGACCCCTGCGGGGTCAGTTCTGGTGTGCAATATGGGCAGAATCAGATGGTGGGGGCAGCTGGTAGCAGTGGGAAGCAGGTGGCCAAAAGGTAGATGGGCCTGAACTTTGTTAATATGATATTAGGGGTGCTACTATAGGTGGAACTCTGAGGACCGCTCATAAGCCGTTAAAACTTTGAATACTTGCTGAGTGAATGGGCTTTAAGCGGGAACTGTAGAGTTTTCCATAGAGGCATGTGTTGAGATCAGCATTGTTTTATCTTCACTCTTTTTCGATGTTTTCTATAACATTACATGTATAAATAAAACAGGCAGGGTGCAGCCTTGCTTTTGTCATTTTGACGAAAGTCTGGTCTGTAGTCCCTCGTTTATGCATATCCCTTTTAGAATCTATGTCTTGATATTTAAATACACACTTACAGTCTTTAAAATTACTTTTTATTAAGTTACTGATATATTTAGTTTTTTCTGCTGACAGTCAATCTCCTTAGTGTGTGGGAGGTTTTAACTCAATACTTGAAATATTTTTCAAGGTTGCACCTGGAACCTCTGTACAAATAAAGAATATGGACTTTACCACTGAGCTTCTTCTTTTTGTATGATAAGTGGTTCACAATACTTTTAAAGTACACTTTTGGTTTTAGCTTGCATAATATGGCATATTCAACAAATTATGGTTAAAATCATGGCTTAGCATAATGCGAGCCAGTCCATTATTTTTAAGCTATTGCCTTTTGTTGTTGTTCTTCTTAGCTGAAGACTGGTTCTAGAATTATTGAAAAATGAAAGAATAATACCTGATGCCATCAAATTCAGAAATGTACACATTTTCATTTGAGGACTAGCATATGGAAGTGAAAGCTTTTATATAACTTTTCAATGCCTTTTGATTAATAGATGTTATCTCTTCTAAAATAAATGTTGTGTCAAACAAAATTAACTAGAAGGAATCAACTTTTTAAAAATCATTATTATAGGACCAGTTTAGAAAAATTGCAGAATTGTAACTAGTGCTTTTGAGATAAGTATTTTAAAACAAATTTACATCCAAGCAAGGTTATTCCAATAATTGAGGTATTATTACCTAATGTTCAAATATAAAGATTTTTATTTTTATTAAAATAAAATAAAGGAATATATTACTGCAAACATCTAAGATTTGCATGAGTCTAGTAAATGTTTCAGTTGTATTGCCTAGGTTTTTAATTAATTAGGAAAACCGCTTTTTTGGTTAAGGTAATTTGATTTTTTAAATGTTAAAATCTTTCACTTTAAGATCAGAATGTACGCTTCAACCAAGGAAATTCAGAAATTTCAAAATTCTAAAATAAGACTGTTTTAAGTGCATTGTCTTTAAAATAGCATTGTTAAATGCTTCAGAGGATCACAGTCTGCATTTTGACAGATGGAGTATGAAGAATGTCACTTAAGACTAAAAGAAGAACGAAAAGCAAGAATGATTGCTGAAGAACGGATAATGGAGGTAATCATTTTCTTTCTTGGATACCAACATGCAATAGGATACAATATTTTTCTTCAAGGTGTTTGACCTCCACTTTATAAAAAAATAGTTTCCATGCTATGTAATATTGTTGGGGTAAGAATTAGCAAGAGCCCAAATTTACCTGGCATGAGGGCCAAATATGAAACCTACAGGAACATTAACATTATATAGTCACTGAATTGTCAGGTAACACCACTGCAGTATCTGCTGGGAAACCCCCTCCTTTGATTTTTCTCCCTTCCCTCTTTTAATATAATATCTAGGTATATTTGGTTTCAGGGACCTGTATAAACAAATGGGCATTTTACAGTTTTCATAATGCACCAGGTGATTTCCGATAAGTTGCATAATTTTGATACCATAGTAGCAAAACATTTTTCTTCCTCAAATGAGAAGAAACAGAACACTAGTTTTGATCTCTTTTTGTCCTTTTCCGTATGGAATAGCAAATTGCAGATGAATTCTCAAGCTAGTGGATGAATATTTATTTATTTAGATGGCCATCACTGCTGCATTTCTTTCTTACTGCGCTCAAGTGTGTTTCTTATTTCATCTTTAATCTGAGATACCAGAAAGGAAGGGGGGCATCTAAAGGAAATGATAGCATTTCATTCCAAAAATCTTTATTGGAGAAAAGGTATTTGCAGTATTACAATTTTGTTTCATTATTTATTCTAGTTGGAATTGGAAAACACTCAATTACGGAATATAAATTGCTCTCTCTCAGAAGTTGTCCATGCACAGTCAGTAGCAAGCACAATACTAGAAGACGAAGGAGTGCTTGGTAGCATTGAGAATTCTTTCCAAAAGTTTCATGCTTTTTTAGATCTTCTTAAAGATGCTGGGTAAGAGAAGCCATTGATTGCCTTTTGAATGATCCTTGATGGTGTATGTCTGTGTATAACAGGATTAAAGAATAGCAGTGCTTTATCTTTTAAAATATCAAAATTACCAAATCATTCTTGAAAAGCAAAAACTGATTTGTTGAAAACTTGTTCCTGTGGTTTTAAAGAAATTGTTGGGCAGAACAAGTCCAGTTCAGAACACCTTCAGCACACCCTTTTATTGGAACAAGATTATGGGGCAAAAATAAGGAAGAAATTGTGTATTTCATAACTGGTATCTCTGTCCTTTTTCTGCAGTTTTTATTGTATTGTATTTATTTTTCTTCCAGTTGTGATATATTTAAAAATATATATTTAAAATATATCTGAAGACAATTTACATTTCTTTATAATTTTAGAGAACAGCTGGTACTTGGGATTCTCTTGTTTGCAATAAAATAGTAATTTAGTTTCTTCTACCATTTCAGAGCTTAATTATATAAATAATTAAATTAAAAATTTATAGTTTCACTATTTTTTAAGTGCATTTGTCATATTTTCATATTTTGCAGCCTTGGACAGCTTGCAACAATGGCTGGTATAGATCAGTCAGATTTTGGCGTATTACATCATCCCCAAATGACTTCTAGTGTAAAGCCAACTCTGATAGAAAGGGAGAAGTCATTTGAAGAAGAAAGACAAGAACACATGCAGAATTTTAAAGTAAGCTTGTTAACTCACTGCTCACAATACATAATTTGTATTTTTTAAAAAACTATTTGCTTGCTTTTAATCTACAAAATTTTCACATAGTTCTCTTCTGCATTTCTGTCTTTCCTCTGCTACTCTTGAACAGCCTTGCAAATAATAATGAAAATAATAGAAATAACTATTCATTCAATGACAATCATAGTGTCTCAACTATGTTGTAGTCTGATTATTTGGGTTCTAACTAAGAGCGTAGGATTCATAGTATGTAAGAAATTTTAAGCAATTTTTTTTTGCCAAGTCAATAGTGTCAAGTCTATTAAATTTTCAAATATTTAATGAATCTATTAATTTTATAACTTGGTTTATTGATTTAGAGGCCACCAATTCCAATATAATTCCAGGTATAGTCAGTACTTGACTTATGACCACAATTGAGCCCAAAATTTCTGTTGCTAAGTGAGACAGTTAAGTGACTGGCCCCATTTTGCGACCTACATTGTCACAGTTGTTAAGTGAATTATTGCAGTCATTAAGTTAGTAACATGGTTATTAAGTGAATTCGGTTTCCCCATGGGCTTTGCTTGCTAGAACGTCGCAAAAGGTGATCACATGACCCCCAGAACAATACAACTGTCATAAATATGAACTGCTTACCAAGCATCCAATTTGATCACATGACCATGGGAATGCTGCAATGGTCGTAAGTGTGTAAAATGGTCATAAGTCACTCTTTTCAGTGCTGTGGTAACTTCGAACGGTCACCAAACAAATGGTTGTAAGTTAAGGACTCCCTGTAGTTTAAGAAATAGAAAATGGCATGGCTTCAAGAGCTCCAATTACTAAATTTTTCTGGGCCTGTTTTGGAAGAAGTGGGAAACCAATATTGTAATAATTCAACTGGGGTGTGGGTGGATAATACGTGTATGTGTGTGGGGGTGGGGAGGATTCCTTTGTTTTAATACATCTTTTTTTCAATATTTTGTTTGTTTTGAGCTCCAATTACTATTAGTATTATAACTAATTAGTAATTGGACTTTCTTCCAAAGTCCTTCAAGTTCGAATCTCAATGTTTGTTACTTTTTCTCTTTGTTTTTTGTCAAATTTATTGTTTTTTATTGTTTATTGCTGTCTCTATGAACCACATTTTATTTGTTTGGATCATGATGATGCTGAACATTGCTATGTTTGATTCAGGTGTCTGTTGGTCTGTATTACTGTGCAAGTTCAAAGATGAAACCATAGATATTTTCATTAATGGCTATATCAAAGTTATTAAAAGCACTGCCATGATAAAACTTATGCACTGGAATTTATATAGAAAGTTTAGCTTTACTATTAACAAAAGCTACTGAGACCGCATATTTGAAAAAAAAATCTTTGAAAATTAAGATGAAGATACTATGGGATTTTAAAATAGACCAACAGATACCTGAAGCACAATTTACCAGATATCATCGTTATTACTACTAGCATTTCTATAACATGTATTCAAATAATTCTGTTACTAATTTTTTACTAGCCTGTTATGGGCTCAGTAACATAGAGAATAACATGAGAGAAATTAGAATGTGCTCTCTGCCCTTTTATCATTTGTTGTATTTCTGTGCAACAAATTGAAGATGAATGGTGTTCGTTGCATATTATGAGTCATTTCCTCATAATTTGTAGCTAGCACTGATAACTAAACATTTAACACAATAATTTGTGTTTCAAGCACTTTACATAGAGTGATTTCATTCAGTTTCTCAAAATACCTACTAATGAAAGTCCATTAGCATTATACAGCATTTTGAAAAAGAAATTACATCATCTTCTAAATGTAATAAATTATATATATACAGTGTGTGTGTGTGTGTGTGTGTGTGTGTGTGTGTGCGCCTGTTCTTCGCTACAAAACTAAGTGCTCGGGCTTGATAAATTGACACTTACAGCCTGAAACGTAATGTAGAATGTGTAACTCCGTAGCATCAGAGTGTGTTAATATAATGCAACTGGCAGTTGGAACAGATGGAGAGGGGGAGTAGAATGTCCCAGCTCGCAGCATCCATTGGTATTCATCTGGCTAGCATCCTGTCAGTGTGTGAGAGAGTTGAGGGGTGTTTGGAAACTCAAACAGAATTTGCAGTGTAAGCAAGAAGGAGACAGGAAGGAGGCTGGGCATGGCTTAGCTCAACTGTTCTGTAGTAAAGCTGCTTGCTGCTGTGAAAGTAAAACTGAAAGTGAAACTCCTCTGCTTGTGTTTTGCATTTGGAACACATTTCTTTTCAGGTGGGGAGGGGGAGTAGAACTCCTTAGCATCAGAGCGTGTTAATAATAATATAGGAAATACTAATGCTCTGATGGTCATTTTGAAAAATCCTTTCTTAGTGAGCACCTAGAAGCCAAGAAGAACATACGTGGCAAATTTCAAGTTTGTAGGCTTTACGGTTCTGGAGATTTTGTTATTCCGGCGTGAGTGGTTTTCGAAAATAAGACATCCCCTGATAATAAGCCTAATCAGGCTTTTGAGCGCATGGCAATAAGGCCAAGCGCTTATTTCAGGGGTCAAAAAAATATAAAACAGGGTCTTAGTTTTGCGGAAACACGATGTGTGTATGTATGTATATATTGTTAAGCAATGTGTGATGTGCTTTATGTTTTAATTCTAAAAAACAAATGACAAGGCCTCAAAATGCTTCTATGTTATATTTTATCTTTACATCTTCCTACTGAGATAGTTCTGAAACAGGAACCATGGAGTGAACAGGTTTATATCCTAATTGAACTGAGTTATGGTAGTATTTCAATATGCTGAATCTGTGTTAAACTAATAGTTCAGACATATGAAGTGGCACTGTTAAATTGTGAAATGACTTACTCGGTTTATAGGAATTGTCATTCTTGTGACTAATGGTAGCATATGCCATTAGCAGCATAGCTAACTATGGCTAAACCATTACAGAAAGGAAGATACTGGAAGCAATTATTAAGTACACCTTTGGAAGGTTTTGTGAGATTTCCATGTTTCCCTGTACTTTCCAGCTATTGGTTTTGAATAGAATAGGAAAGAGTAGGGTAGGGTAGGGTAGGGTAGGGTAGGGTAGGGTAGGATAGGATAGGATAGGATAGGAAAGGAAAGGAAAGGAAAGGAAAGGAAAGGAAAGGAAAGGAAAGGAAAGGAAAGGAAAGGAAAGGAAAGGAAAGGAAGGAATAGAATGGGAAAGAATACAAAAGGATAGGATAGGAAAGAATAGAATAGAATAGGAATAGGAATAGGAAAGAGAATAGAATGGGAAAGAATAGAAAAGGATAGGATAGGAAAGAATAGAATAGGATAGGATAGGATAGGATAGGATAGGATAGAATAGAATAGAATAGAATAGAATAGAATAGAATAGAATAGAATAGAATAGAATAGAATAGAATAGAATCTGTAAGGGACCTTGGTGGTCTTCTAGTCTAGCCCCCTGCTCAAGCAAGATAACCTATATTTCAGATAAGTGACTGTCTAGTCTCTTAAAAACTTCCAGTGATGGAGCACCCATGATTTCTGAAGGCAAGCTATTCCACTGGTTAATTATTCTCACAGTTAAGTTTCTCTTTTATGCAGCAAACAACGATAGTCTGTGTATCATGACATGTTTTATCAGTGGAATTTCCTGCCAAAATACCTGCTAGGTTTGCAAATAGATTACACTTAGACATACAAAATTATTTCAGTCATTTTTTAATTGTTTTAATTTTTTTTCCTAGAATGCTGGCTCTACCTCTTTTCTGAGTCCTCTCACTTTCCAGAAAGACTTTGATTCATGTCAAGCAGTAAATAGTGACCTACCTGCAATAGCAAAAACTCAAGACCTTCAAGGTGTTGGTCCATCCCAGCAAAGCTTGTGGCAAGACATTGAAGCTAAAATAGATAGTTGGAGAATAGAAGATCATGAATCAAAACCCGCCCAGACAGCATCTGAGAAGAATAGCCAGCCTCTAGAATTGGAAACAAGGGATTCCTCTGTGAGGCAAATACTTACTGCTCGACTTTCAGTCTCTGAACCCGTTATCAATGTGCTTGGTAACAAATTTGGTGCTCCTATTGTTGAAAATAGTAAAGTTTCCTCAAAAAAACTTTCTTACACCACAGGCTTTACTACGGAAGATAAAAATCTACAACAGCCTGACCTTTCTAGAAATGACAGAGTGGAGTCTGATTCTGAAATACAAGAAAGTATCCATTCTGTAGGAAGTGCTTGAGGAATCCACTGGATTGTTCACTGAAATCAATTTACTGCATAAATCTTTGGTGTTATCCAAAATTATTATGCAATAATTTACATATGGTGGCAAAAGTAGAGAAGCAGTGACCAGATGCTGGTGAATAACAATTCCGGTATCCCATATGATTGGTCATATTGGTTGGAACTGCTGAGAGTTGTAACTTAGCAACAATCTGGAACATCAGAATTTCCTCACTTTTGCATGTAAGGATTTGCTTTTTTATACCTACCTTTTTTGCCATGTGAGTCTTAAGAACTTTGTTGCCAGTATTCCAAAAGATTGATTGCGCATTTTGGTTTTTATATGGTTTTATAAAGAATCTGGTGTGATTCAAATTATCATTTATAATTAAAATGAAAATAAAGTTTTTACATGATTCTAAGTAGAAAAGGATATTTGTTTGTTATTTTTATTCATTTTGGTGATCTACTTAATGCCAAATTTTATTCATTCTCAAATTGAGTTTCATTGCTGTTGTGAAGCAACTAAAATTAAAAGGATTAAAAAAAAAGCTTTGGTGCTTTTTTGGTCAGAAATATAACTTGTTTTAAATGATAGCTTGAATACTTTAAGGTTTTTTAAAATTTAATAATTTGGCTATTAAAAACAATTTGTTTCGCATAAATAATTTTCTTCTAACAAGGAACCTATATATCCAGTTTGTATGTGGAACAGGTTTGCATTAATAACTAGATTTTATATCCCTGCATTTCATTAAGCCATTACTAGATGCAAACTTTAAATAAGATACAACCCAACACATCCTGACACAATGCACAGCCACTGATTACCCCAAATCCCAAATACATTTTTTAAAAAAATCCATCAATCTCAACCTATCTACTTCGTCATAATAAAAATACATGTTTAAATTTGAACAACTTAGAAATTACAAACAGTCCTTGACTTAATGATCACAATTAAGCTCAAAATTCATGTTGCTAAGCAGCACAGTTGTTAAGTGAGTCATGCTCTATTTATGACGTTTTTTGCCCCTGTTGCTAAGCAAATCACAAGTTGTTAAGTGAATCATGCAGTCATTAAGTGAATCTGACTTCTCCCATTGACTTCGCTTGTTGGAAACTCCCTAGGAATGTTGCAAATGACTATCCCAGGATCCTGGGACGCTGCAGCCATCGAAAATACCTGCCAGTTACCAAGCACCCAAAGTTTGATCACCTGTCTGAGGAAAACTGGTCATAAGTCACTTTTTTTCTGTGCCACTGAATGGTAATAGTGTATAGAGGGATTAGTTGGTATAGGGTTTCCTGCCTGAGCAGGGGGTTGGACTAGAAGACCTCCAAGGCCCCTTCCACTCTGTTTATTCTACTCTACTCTACTCTACCCTACCCTACCCTACCCTACCGTACTCTCTACTTCTGACAGCATGGGGCCCCATGATGTCAGAAGTAGAGCAGTCATCTGATCTTAGTACTTTCCCTGACAGTTCTTGAGGCTACTTGGGGGTTATGTATGCCCTCAGGGTCACCTGGGCTTAGGACCTGGGTACTTACGAGACTGCCTTCTGCCACCAGTAGCTTCTCACCGGCCAGTACGCTCCCACAGGGGCTCCTCAGGGTGCCGTTGGTCAAATAGTGTCGACTGGCGGCCCCCAGGGGGAGAGCCTTCTCTGTGGGGGCACCTGCCCTTTGGAACAAGTTCCCCCCGGAGATACGGAGGATCCCAGATTTATGCACTTTCCATCGTGCCCTCAAGACTTTTATTCCAACAGGCTGGGCTGGCCTAACTTTTTAATTGTTTAATTTTGATTTGTTTTTTAAAAAAGGGGTGTTTTAATTAGTATGGGCCAAATTTATCTAATATGTTTTAAATTGTTTTTTAAATTTTATATTGTATGTGTTTTATCTTTGGTTGTTCACCGCCCTGAGTCCTTTGGGAGAAGGGCGGTATATAAATCTAAATAAACTGAAACTGAAAACTGACACCTGTATCAGACTGCAAGCGGGGTAAAATCTTCTTGGAACTGCATTGTAGACAGGATATAAGTGGTGTATCCCTCCCCCTTGGTTGAGAGATGGCTGCTCAGTGTTAATATAAAAGGCCTCTTTTACCCCCCTTTCAAACCAATGGTCCTCTATCCAGAATGTGGACTTTGCTGTCTTCAAATGAATGACTTTTGTTTTTCAAATGCAGATAGACTGCTGAATCTTGTCCTGATGTATTTACTGACTTTGTTACTATGTCATTCCCTCAGGCCTCCCAGGATCTTTCTGGCCACTCCACCCCATACTCCTTACCTGAGACTCCTGCTGCTTCCTGCTTAATGACTTCATTTTTGGGTTATCTGTTCATTTGTTTCCTGCCTAATTCCCAATTATTGAGTTGGCATAAGCAGTTTATTTATTTACAATTTATTTTGAAGTGAAAAGTCATTGAGTTTCCTATCTATTATTGATATACCTGTTTTGTTTTTCTCCCACACTAATTGAACAGATTTATTACATTAGTCCCAATCAGTCTCAATGTAAAGTTTTAAGCAGAAATCTAATCATTTGGGTTAAAAATTGCTCTTTTTTTGATGCTGAAATTACACAAGTGATTCAGACAAAACACAATTGATTCAGGCAAACGAGAGAGAGAAGATAAAATTCTGTTGGAAGAAAAATCCAGTCTGGTTCCAAGCTGGAAGAAAAAAAAGTCAATGGAAGCTGGTACAAGGAAAGGTTTCCAGAAACTTCAGTGACAGCAGCATGTTTCTGGAGTGGCTGACAAAATAGCTGAGTGAGTGGATGGATCTTTATAGGGTTCTGGGGTTTTGTGATTGAGATGCTCCAGGGGGCTATGCAATGTAGTGGGCCGTGTGCCTTTTACTATTTCAATGGTGGTAGGCTAATTCTATTGTGGGAAGCCCCCTCCTCCCCCGAAGAATGAAATATTTTGGGGAACATTAAAAGAGGCAGAATATTATATTTCCCCAAAGGAGAAATGGAGAAATATGCTCTTAAAGACAGAAAGCAGACTCAGTCTTTCTTAATAGGCCCCAGCAGATATTTTGTGCCCATTAAGAAATCCGGCCAATCTATTCATAAACGAAGAACCTTCATCTCCAGTGATGGGATTAAAATTTACATTCTCTTCCACCAAAATTCTAAGAACAGGACATGACCCTTTAGGACATAATAGAATTAACCCACTACCATTTAGCAAAAGACACAGAGCTCACTACATTGCACAACCTCCTAAGGGCATTTCAGACATTGCAAAACCCCCAGCAGCATTTCAGAAACTATAAAAAATCTTGCACAGATCAAGCTAATTTGTCAGCTGTCCCAGAAGTGCATGCTGTGTGTGTGTTGGTTCTGCTCATCTATAAATGGACCTTCTTTCTTAAGCAGCTTCCATTTTAATTCCCATCTTGGAACTGGACCTGGATTTTTCTTCCAACACTGCTATGTCCTAAAGGTCATGTCCTGTCCATAGAATTTGGGTGGGGAATGTAAATTCTTAATCTCATCAGCTCCAGCCTGGGGGGGCTGTGGCTGAAGGCATTTTGTTTATGAATAGGATGGCCTAGTCCTGTGTTGGTGAGCCTATGGCATGTGTGCCAGAGGTAGCACACAGAACCCTTTCTGTGGGCACGTGCGACATTGCCAACTGCTCTTCTGGTTTCCGGCACACACATGCACACTGGCCACCTGGTCTCCAGTGCACGTATGCATGCACATGTTCCGGTTTGGGCATTCAGTGCTGAAAAGGTTTGCCATCACTGGTCTAGTTGTTATGAATGGATGCAAAATCTGCATTCTAAGGAGCAGCCTCTTTAAGCTTCTTAGTTTGAAGCTGTTTTTCTATGGCAGGAAAATGGGGCTTGCTTTCTGCCTTTGTTAAGACTTTCCTCCATTTCTCCTTTTGGGGAAATATTTTATCCTGCCTCTTTTTAATATTAAGAATAAATAATATTTTAATCTGGGGGTGGGGGGCTTCCTACAGTTCCATGAAAACACTATTAAAAGCATTCACTAAAAAAACCAACACAAAAGCATGCCTTGTTTTCCACAAGGATAATTAGTAAAGCTACTTTTTATCAATTTTAAAACATCAAAATGAATCAAGTTACTATGAAGTGCTTTGCATTGTAATAGTTTAGGCTTTTATTTTAAATCTTTCTTATAAAATCAGTATTTAATTTGCTGTCAGCATATGTAGCTTATAACAGAAAAGCATAATGTGACTTTTCGTTTTCATTGCACTGGAGGAAAAGAAAGCCACATGATGGTTAACGTTTTACTCTTGAGTGCTTTATGTTTGAGGGTCAAAGAGTTTAAATCGATATACTGACCTTTTTTGTTGCATAACTAATCAGAAGATAAGGAACACTCATTTAGATTTTTCATCTTTCAGCTTCTCTTCTGTTCTGTTCTGATTTGCTTAGATTGGTTCTTGGACAGTTTTTCATATGCAACTTTTCTGTAGTGTACTTTCTGGAAGGTCATCTGCAACAATTGATAAAGTTTTTGCCAGATTCCTTTATCACAAATGAGAACATTTGTTCTTTCAGTATGACATCAGTTTGCCCATTTTGTAATCATGAAATACGCTGTGAATGCAATACACATAGCTCAAAAATCAGTGGCTTTCCTGATCCTTATACCTCATCATTTTTAGTGGGTTGAGAATTGCACCACATATATCCTTGTGTAATTGGACCTTAACCAGAATAAAATAATTTTTTAAATTCCCAGCGTTACATTGAAATTCCAAGATTCTTTCTTGAAAATTAACTTGCAATGAGTTAAATTTGTGAAACAGGATGAACATAAGATGCCCAACACTGAATTGAATCATTGGTCTTACTATCACTCCTATTGTTTGACTCCAATGTTTCAGATAAAGATATCTTTATATTTAGGATAAGGACCCATAACATCAAACATTTATAACAAATTGGGCAGCTGTACAAATTGGGCAATACGCTGGAAGTGATTCAGGCTATAATAATGTTAACAAAAGGCACCGATTGTGTGCCATCAAGTTGGTGTCGTCTCTTAGCGACCACACAAGACAGGCATCCCACCCCGATTTGCTCAGCTGAAGTTAAAGACGGCTGGCAGAAAACGGGAATGATTTCACCCCTCCCGTCCAATACTCCGAGGGCATCCATCGTTGTTGTGAAACATCCTCTTTCTAGTCGTGCCATAGTTTATGACACAGGATCGTGCTAATAAGACATCTCCAGTGGAAGCCAGCCCTCCCGAATGGAGGTTGTTACTCTTCACAGCAAGATCCAACGACTCAGCTTCAGCTGCCGGAGGGGGAGGCTCGTCCAAAGGCTGCCGCTGACTCGGCAAGCTCAGTCGCCTCTCCGGCTCGGTGGATCGGATGTTGCAATCGCTTCCCTGCTTTGCACCGAAGGACGGGACAATCACGCCGCCTGCTCGTGGCCACTGGTCAATAACTGGGCCGGCTGCGAAGCGCCGACCAATCGGATCGTGAGCAATTGCCATACCCCCTGAGAAAGAAACCAATAGAAAAGCAGAACCGCGGAGGAGCCCTGCAGTTTTAGGGAGCTTCTGAGTTCGAGAGAGCTAAGTAGAAGATAGAGAGGCGCGCGTCGAAGCAGGCAGAGGAGCTCCGTCGTTGGCAACCATGGACGCTAAGAAACACGTAGCCAATTTCGGCGCCGGACCAGCGAAACTCCCGCGATCGGTAGGTACTCGGAACTGCCGAAGGCATCAGGGAGGATGTCCTACAAGCGGAGCGGGAGGGATGCTCCGCGCTGTTTAATTGGGGAAATTTGCCCTGAGGCTGTGGTGCCGCTATGCCTGGAGAGTAAGCGTTGCTACCGAGTAAACCTTGGTTTAAATAGGGATTACTTTAAAACTTGAATGCCGAACGTTGCTCTCGTTAAGTGCCCATCTTAAGAGAGCAACTTTTGGAAGGATGCTTGCAAAACTTTGCGGGTCTGTGCTTGGAAAGAGACGATGGGGGAGACGCTTCTATCCTTTGCATCGGGCCAATTTTATTTTCGTTTTTAACGAATTCTTTGGATGCAAAAAAAAAAAGGCAGGAAACGGTGCCCCTGTTGACATGGTTGTCCTGGAAACTCCGTGTTAGGGATCTCCGTTATACTCTTCAAGCATGCTGATTTTACTCGATTAACTAAGTTTCCTAGTATGCTTAGCATAATATTGACTTTTATCTTTTAATCCTAGTTTAAAGTAATAGAAACTTGGCATTTTGGTGTTTTACCTTTCTATATCTGATGCAGTCCAAAAAACCAAACCTAGAACATTAACATTTGCAAATCAGACATTGCTAAATGGAAAAATAATATATTTTTCTTTCAAAGGTATATTTACAAAGCAACTGCCCACATTGTAGGATTGCAGGCTATTTTGTCTTTGCATTTCCCCCCTCTTTAATTCCTAGTATTAGCATGACCCAATCAGATCTCCAACTTGTTAGGCATTTTCATTTCATTTTATTTCAATCATGGTAGGGATAACAAGTTGTATTTCTGGCATAGCAGCAAAAGTGTATTGCTAATTGGGGCACCTCATGGTTTTAAGAATAGTGCATGTTGTTCAAGTTATTGTTGTACCCCAGAGCACAAATTCTGATATGTGCAAAAAAAATAGGTTCTACTCTTTTCCATTTGGGAAAACTGGAGTATCTAATTCTTAACCATTTTGTTTGTGCATTCAAGAGAGGAAAGTATTTGAAAAGTCCATTGTCTTCTCTTGCTGAATAAATCCTTTGTGAATGTGTAGGGCAGACATAATTATAGATACAGCAGGGTACAACTTCAGGCAGCTTCATGCTCACTGAATTATTTTCCAAGTATGTAGCTCAATTTAATCCAAAATGTTGCATCAGCAGCTGTCTTGATCCAATTACATTTGGAGGGTGTGGCTCTTTATATCTGGTTTTTCAGCTTTCCAGCAGAACTGCGTGTCTAAACAGTTTCAAAAATAACCATGTTTCTTACTGAGGTCGAGAAAAAAGTGGCATTGCTATCTATTTTGGTTAATTAACATTTTATCTGGGACATACCCCCCTCCCTTTTAAAAGAAACAATTTTCTATGTGAAGCAGCTTGTAAGGAGTATCTATGGAGAGTCTCAATCATCCAGGTCATGGTTGTCCCAAAGTGCTTTTCAAAAGGCAACTGGACTTTTTTGTTTTTTTCCCTTGACAACGTTTCATTTCTCATCCAGAAAGCTTTTTTAGTTCTGACTGAATGGTGGGGAATGGAAGGATTTATATTCTTTGCAGTCAACTGCAAAGCACTCTTAGAGTTGTTAGGGCCACTTGGGAGATTATCTGTACATCCGGGTAACCTGAATCATCTTTTAAAGACATCAAATTCCACATCCTGGACAAAGAGGATCACTGGTTTGAGAGGGGTCAAAGAGCCCACCAATGTTAAAACTGAACAGCCCTCTCTTAACAGAGGGGGAGGGATACAATACCACCTATCTCTTGTCTACAACGTAGTCCTTTCAGCACTCCATACCCATTTGTAACTCTGATTCAGGTGACCTTGAGGGTACAGATAAAACCCCAAGTGGCCCCAACAACGGAGCAAAGTGCTGACAAGACCCTAAGTGCTAACCAGTGGTGGCATTCATCCGGTTCGACGCTCAAATTTGCAAACAGGTAGCGAAGGTAAGTGCATACCACCCCTGGTGCTAACGATGCAAGGAATATAAATCCTTCCATTTCCCCACCATTCAGTCAGAACTGAAGAAGCTAAGCAAAACATTTTCAAGGAAAAAACCAAGAAAGTCCAGTTGCCTTTTGAAAAGCACCTTTGGGACAGTGGTGGGTTTCAAATTTTTTTACTACCGGTTCTGTGGGTGTGGCTTGGTGGTTGTAGCATGGCTTGGTAGGCGTGGCTTGGTGAGCATGGCAGGGGAAGGTTACTGCAAAATCCCCATTTCCTCCCAATCAGCTGGGACTTGGGAGGCAGAGAATAGATGGGGTGGGGCCAGTCAGAATTTTTACTATTGGTTCTCCTAAGTACTCAAAATTTCCACTACCGGTTCTCCAGAACTGGTCAGAACCTGCTGAAACCCACCTCTGCTTTGGGATAGCTAGTAAGAATTACTGTATTGGAGCCTTATTTCAGAAATAGAGTAGGACTAGCTGAACTTTGTATCAGATTTGATGTTTAGTAAGATTTACACCTGAAGGCACTGGTGAAATCGGCTGTATAAAGGCATCTTTATTTCTTAGTTAGATTTGGATGGATGGATGGATGGATGGATGGATGGATGGATGGATGGATAGATATTAAACCCTTTACAGTTTAATGAAACAAAACAGAGAATGATTCTTTTTTTATGTTCTAAAAGAGAAGGATACATGATAAAAGTTGTTTTGTGAATTACTTATCCAAGATAAAACTGGTGTAAATGAGGATTTTACTGTGATCTGCTAAACTTTAGAACATGGGTCTGTTTGGGCTGCTAGACACTCATGGAATTTTTGTTCACATGTTTGAACTTTTGCAGCATGTCAATTGCAATTGTGGGCTTGTCCAATTACAGAATAATAGTTACAGAAGTCCTCATCAGTTATAAAACACTAGTTTGTACAAACTCCTGGCCACTTCTCGCTCTTGTTTTGTTTATTGTTCTATTATTTATTTATTATGGTATTTATATCCTACCTTTCTTTCTGTTGGACAAAGGTAGCTTACAATAGTAAATTAAATATAAATTATTAACAAAACAACATCAATACAAATAAAATCCAAATATAAAAACTGTTAGGGGGAAAGTGTGGAGAAAAATATGCACTTTTATCATTTTCATTAGTACTAGAGATTGAGGGGCAAGTCCATCTGCTTTCTTTCTTAAAATCTTTTTTTCTGGCAGTAGGGATACTTCAAAAATAATTGCTGGGTTGCAGCTGCTTATTTTTTTGTACTTCTTAAGAAAATGTATAACCAAAATAATGTTTATGTCTAGATATAATCTTGGAAATAAAGATGGTGAAAGCTGATGCTTTAATTTGCAGGACGCCAGTTTCCCTTTATTATTATTATTATTATTTTTTATAAAAAGGATAAAATGTCAGCTGGGAATGAAAACCTGGCAAAATCCTCCAGAAAGTATATACAGCATACCGGCATCTCTTGGCATCTTGTTGGGAATTCCAGCTTTCAAAACAGATTTTATATTTAAATAGTTACAGGTGGCCTATGATTCAATTGGGTAATAAATCCCTGTGTTACTTGTAAAATCTAAATGACATTTTTGTGTTGGTGAGTCTTTCAGGCAAAGATTTCCCAAAGTGACTCTCATTTAAAATAATAAAAAATTAAATAATCCAGAACATTTTAGAATCTAATAGATATTGGAATGTGAAAAGAAAACAGAGTAATCCAAATTTGAAGAAGAGGTAGATTGTGTAGGTAATCCTAGGAAAAGACTTATGATCCATTTGAGTTAAGTTGATTAAATGCCACATGCAGGCCAATGCATCCTTCAAATTATTTTTCCTCATAGAATCCATATTATTGTACAGTTATAGTAGGTTTATTATGGCAGACTGTAAAACTTCAGATGACCAGTAGTTGGCAACAAAGATAAAGAGTTTGCTATCTCCTCATTGCCCTCCAGTGGTCCTCTGGATATTTGCAGGCCAGATAAAATAAGCCTAGAAGATTACTCAGTATTACAAAGCACATACCGGTACTTCACAACATGGAAGCTCTTGGGACCAAACTTTGGCATCTCAGCTGATAGAAACACCCAGAGCTGTTACCACTCAAATCAGGCAATACCTGTCTAGGATCTTGGTAGAATTATACTACTTACTCTTGGATAAATGTTAAAGCATACATGTAAAGGTGCAAACAATAATGAATCTAAGTGACTTTACCTCTATATAGAACATATGATTTGCCTGACCTGAGCATAATTATGTCAAATATTTTTTTCAGGTATTATTGGAAGCCCAGAAAGAATTGGTGGATTACAAAGGCCTTGGTATTAGCGTCCTTGGTAAGGAACTCATCTTTATTTGGGGTGTTACCGAAAATAAAAATGTAGGGAAACAACTGCCACAAAGAACAGGGGGTCAACCTATTTTCCAAAGCACGAGAAGACAAGATAAGAAATAATGAATAGAAACTAAGCGAGGAGAGAAGCAACCTAGAATTAAAGAGAAATATCTTAACTGTGAGAACAATTAACCAGTGGAACAGTTTGCCTTGAGAAGTTGTGATGCTCCATCACCGGAGGCTTTTAAAATGACTGGATAGCTACTCGTCTGGAATGGTATAGGGTCTCCTGCTTGAGCCGGAGGATGGACTAGAAGACCTCCCAGGTCCCTTCCAACTCTGTTGGTTGACCCAAAAAAGGTGACCTTGTGCTTGTGGGAAAATGCTAGGACAAAAAAAGAGAAGAAAAGGAAAGAAAAATATTTGATCTTTAGAGAGATCGAGCAGTAATCAAATTGTTTTGGTCCTGTTGCAGCTTTCCCACACTAGTATATAAGGTCAACCCTTGTTACTATTCCCCATTTAAGTTCTCTAATGAAATGAACTGAGGTTCCAAGTGCTTCAGCTTTTTGAGCTTTTCTTTCTTCTGAGCCAAGAAAATTTATTGTATTTCACTATATTATTCTTATTCTTTATCATGTTGATGGGCATGGGAATGTCCGTGCATTCTTGTGTCTGAAAGTCATTTCAGTGGCGGGAGCTGATCTATGCGCCCCATTTTTACAGCCTTAGTTCTTTTGCCTCTATTGGGTATATGAAATATGATACGTAAGTAGAATGTGCTCACTGGCGCATGTGATAGATAATTCCTCATTTGGGCCTAAGCTCCATTTATCCATGACACCCTTGTGGAGTTTAGCAAACTAATTTGTCTGCTCTGTTTACAGTTTCTTAGGTGCTTTTTAAACTGCCTGAAGAAAGCCAAGTTAAAATGCAATCATTTGAAAAGCTACGGTATGTTTGTTTTTATAACATGATGTCTTTGATTTCCTTTCTCTAGAAATGAGTCACAGAACATCTGATTTTTCAAAAATAATCAAAGCCGCTGAAAATTGCTTACGTGAACTCCTGTGAGTTATCCTGTTTATTCACGCCATTAAAAGCTTGACTTCTGAAAATACTGTACCTGCAATATATGTTTTTCCTTTGGATGCATAGTATATTTATGATGTTTCAATGAAACATTATCTGTGTATGGTTTATTACTGCAGAGATAAAATGGGACACTTTGTGATTTGTTTTTGGCATGGATTGTTATGCATTTTTTTCAGGAAGGTTCTTTTATCATTTCTGTTTTATGATAGCTTGTAACAGCCATGTGTTACATATAATGTCTATAATAGTACTTAACATTAATGGTTGAATCTCAACAAAACTCTTTGCATTTAGCCATTGTTAAAATCAGGTTGGCATTTTTCACACTGATCTAAACAGGATTTAAATTTAACTAATTAGATCCAATGCAGTCTTTTAAACAAATATATTAACTATTGGGAAGAGGGTAATTTAAAGTAGAGAATCGGTGAGTGGATTTTAAAATCCTTTTTCTGCTAGGGTTGCGTAGAGGATGTAGCTGTCAATTGTCCTGAGAATTATTGTAATGGGTAATTTCATAGAAAGGCAGATCCTCTTTGCTATGTGACTATTACTTTGCTATTATTCTGCCAATCAGAATGACGACTCTTTTTCATTGAAGTGTATTATTAAATACTTATGAGGGACTGAAGCACAACATTGCTCTGCAAAAGTTGATACAACTATTTGATAAAGTTTAGTATGCATAGGAAAATGTATTGGGGGGGGGAATCAAGAGTTTCACACTGTTTGTTTTCTGGACTACCTTATAACATGATTGGGAGTATTTTCACTTTCCATTATGTCTCCTGCCATATGGAGCTCCTGAGTGCTAATAAGGGCAGAATATATACATTTTTAATAAGGCCTCAATCTGCGGCATATGCTGTACTGGGTTTTGATTCATTCTCAACACAGTTGCTGCCAATAGTTGAGCATGCCACTCAGAATATATTCCAGAGATGGCATATTCATACTTTAATTTCAACAGAGGCTAAAAAATTGCCTTGAAGTTTTAGGAGCATCCCTCTACATTCTTTCAGTCACAACAAGGGCTACTTTTGCCAGTTTTTGTCTTTTGTGAAGACCAGATTCTACCAAACATGTCTGCATGTGGCATCTACTTGGAGCTGGCATGATTTCAACATTGTCACCTTGCATATTCCAAACTGGATGGCATGTGATGTATCTAGATTGGAGCAATTGATAAAATTAGTTCTGATTTCTTGAAGATCTCTCTTTAGGAGAGCTAATTAAATCTTATTAATCCAATATTGAGACTTTTTAAAAATTCAATTCTGGCATTTTGGGAAGCAGAATAGTTATGCATTCTGCCGACAAAAAAATAAAACAGAATAAAACTCATAGATTATCAAGATACTTCAAGTTTTTAAATATGAGCAAATATATGCATTATACTTTACAAATGATATTTATCACTCTGGCAGAAGAAGATTATGCATTTGAGCCACCATTTGGGGTGATTATTTCTAAATAAACATTAATATATTGTAATGTAATGTGTTGTAAATGTAACGTAATGTAAAGTTTTCTCTACCTAGATGCTGTCTTCTGTTTTTACCAGGCATAATGAATGAATTATCGCTCCCTTCCCCACAAACCCTTTCTTCTGTTTTGCACAGCAATATACCAGACAATTACAAAGTGATATTTCTCCAAGGTGGTGGATCTGGCCAATTCAGTGGCATTCCACTTAATCTCATTGGGCTTAAAGAAGCCAGGTGTGCCGATTACGTGGTTACGGGAGGTTGGTCAGCCAAAGCAGCAAAGGAGGCAGAGAAATATGCAAAGGTGAACCTTGTGCATCCCAAGCTTTCAAGTTACACAAGTAAGTTAACTTACTTGCACGAAAATAAATACTAGGTTGTTTTCTTTCTATTGTTTGATAGTCTTCACATTATAGAAGCATGTACATATGTAACTTTCCTATGCCTGTATCTCTCTGCACTTATTCCTCCCTACTACAGTTCTCTTCAACTGGTCCAAAAGGATGCTATGATTGATGGCATTAAAAGTCACTGAGAATTCAAGGAAGGCTAGGTTAGCGGCATCATCCCTTTTCTGTATATCCCTGAGAAGTGCCATCAATGTTGGTGAAATATTGTGCCTAGGCATAAAACCCATTTACAAAAGATCCATATAATCTGTTTCTTTCAGGGCCCTCTACAATTGCAACCTTTTTAATAAACTTCCACAGAAAGGATAGGTTGGAGGCTGGACAAAAATTTTCTGGAGCAATTGGGTTAAGCGATGGCCTCTTAAAGAGGTGGCACACCAATGGAAGCACACTGTATAATTGTGTGCACAATTATACAGTGCACTCTATATACCCAAAGAGGATGTCACTGATATCACTGCATGGAACTAACCACATGCAACCTCCTAGGAGGACTTCAGCACTCAGGATAGACAAGAATCTAACAAACAAGTGACCAGGTTGACAGTCTCAAAGATGCTGTCTACTTCATCAGGACGTACAGGATCAGGCTTCTTCCACTAACCAAGTGTGATGTTGACTCCATCATGACTAGACTAGCTCAGTTGGTGTCCAATTTTGTGAATCTGCTAAATCACCTGGACCTGGTCTGTAGCCCATTGGGAACCGGATCATGCACGCGGCGAGTGAATGCATGAAGCCCCATTTCCACAAACAGCGGATGCGCACATAAAACCATTCCCTCCCCACTGTATTGACTGTGACTGATAGGAATTTAAAATATCTGGAAGGTCTTTAGTTTCCTGTCACTGAGCTAATGGACACATACCATCATCTTTCTATTCTAAAAGATGGATTGCGTTACTCTGGATTCGCTGCAGTGTTTCAAAGTTGGTTTCTTCAGGTACTGCAAATATTAGATATTGAATGTTTGCTTCTGTCTCTTGAATCTGATGCAAACCAGCAACCTTTGCTCATTCCCTGACTGAGATGGCAGGGAGATGGCAATCATGAGGAATTCATGGATTTCAAAGTAAATAGATGAACAATTTTGATATGTGTGTGAGTGAGAAAGTATAAAGTCATAATTGTCATATTTTATGATTATTTATAAAGATTCTGCTGATATTCAGGAGCATTAATAGTCTACGTTTGGAGAAGAAATTGACGATTAATTTACTTGTTTCAAAAATTTAGAAGAAATTTTCGGCAGAGCACTTCTCTACTGTTCATTAAAGCAGCCCACCTTTTTTTTTAAGGCTACTGTGTGAGCTTTAAAAAGTGTGACTGCTTTCAAAAGTCAACTCAAGTTACAGCAATTCTTGCAGTAGCTGCAATCTTTTTTCAGGATCATGCAGAGGCTTAAAAAAAACAGGCTACTTTAATGAGTAGCAGAAATGCTTTACCCATGTAAAGTTTGAAAAATGTCTTCTGAATGATTTTCAAAATAAGAATTAACATTCAAACCTAGAGTGAAATAACAGGTAAATTGCACACATGGAGCTTTTGTATTTAAAAAAAAGTATGTTCCTTTAAATGCCCAAATATTTTGAAACTGAAACTTACTTTGATTGCTAGTCAATTATTTTCTTTCCATATCAAGTGGATTTTCCTCTCCCAGTTTATCAGACTCTGCTTTCTCCAAGTAGTTGCACAATGTTGTGGAGGCTTACATATTTTTTTTTTTTAAAAAAACACGTTCCTTGCTGAAGTAGGAGATTACTTTGCTGGCAGTGCATTTGACCTTTGGCAGTCATCATTCCTGGCATATCAATGCAACTAACAGGCTGAAATTAAAAAAAAACCACACCATTGTTTTCCATCATCTTTATCTTTTTCAGAAATCCCTGACCCAAGCACCTGGAACCTTAATCCCGATTCCTCTTATATCTATTATTGTGCTAACGAGACTGTTCATGGTGTGGAGTTTGACTTTGTACCTGATGTTGGAAAAGCAGTTTTAGTTTGTGATATGTCATCAAACTTCCTCTCCAGGCCAGTGGATGTTTCAAAGGTAACTTTCCAAAAGGCATTTTGCAATATGTAATGATCTCAAATTTAAGGTCACCAGGGCCAATGCCTCTGCTACTCTTACTGAGGGCTCATCATGTTCAATTTACAAGCTTGAATATGTTCCATGTATTAATGGAGCAGTTAGAACTGTATAAATGTTTTTCAAATGCACTCATGAATGTAATGTATCTTCTTTTTATTTTTCCCCCCAATGATAAGTTTGGTGTCATTTTTGCTGGTGCCCAAAAAAATATTGGCTGTGCCGGAGTCACAGTGGTAATAGTGCGTGAGGATTTACTCGGGTATACTCTGAAAGAGTGCCCCATTGTGTTGGACTACAAAGTGCAAGTAGAAAACTCTTCATTATACAACACACCTCCATGCTACAGGTACTTTTGCTAAAGTTAATATTAATTTCATTCTACTAATTACTTAGAAGTTTCTTACAATTGACTTACTTTTTGATTATTAGTGGAAAGGACTAACAACTTCAAGAGAAGTTGGAGAATGTATGTGACATCAACTTCTGAGTTGGGAGGGCTTCTAAAATACAGCAGGTTCTTCAACCTTCTGAGGTCCCAAGACAATTTTGAACTAATTGTTATACTGCATCTCCTCTTTCTCATGCTCAGATTATATGAGGACACTTAATATCTGAATAGGAATGCAATGATTGCAAACAGAATCCTAAATGAAGCTTATTTGTGGTTGTTCCCTTTTAACTATTGCCCAACAATGTATTGAAAGAGACCAAGAGGTATTCAGAACCAACCCAGGTGTTACTTTGACTGGGTATCTCCTTCCACATCATACTCTTCTATATGTCACCTACAAACACCTGGTTGAAATAGATGCTCACTGAGTGAACTTCGAGCCAGTCACTTTCTATCTCATAGGATTGGCTGTAGTGACATAAAGCAGGTGGCAGTACTATATATCCCAACTTGAGCTCCTGAATGAAATGTTGAGATATGAATCCAGCAAGCAAACAAATATGACAGTGGCTGCCTGTTCCATTAACTCTGGATCCAATGGCATTATAAGTAGAGCTTTGCTTTAACTAAACCAAAGATCAAGTAACTTGGTAATCTCCAAAGAATTGGACTACATTCTTTCTGAGCCTATGTATACAGTAGCTTTAGACTTTATGGTGCCAGATTGCTTCTCCTCATCTAGATTTATCAAGAAATGGAGGGAAGGGGAAGAGAAGTAATTTTTTCTGGTGGCCCCAAATTTCAAGTAAAGCCTGGCTTAGTGTTTTCCTTTTGGCCATTGGTGAATGTTGGATGTATTGTCCTATCTAGTCCATTTAGTACCAGCACACAAAACTTATTGTGCTAAGATTACTCTTGAGGGAAAACCTTAAACCTTTTGAAGAACATTTTGGAAAATTTGAGTGCTGCAAGTAATGTTAACTCTAGAACAGTCAGTTCTTTGTGCTACATAATATAGTAGGACAGCCCTCTCTTTCTTCTGGGGCTGATCAGCTTCAAATTTCTAAGCTCAATGTATTTGGTAAAGATTTTGGTCACAGATATATAATAGTACTAGCATATTTGCAGAACATGCCATGTACTAGTATGATAATTATTAACCTTTAAGTTGGCTGGGTATGTGTATTCCAAGTTTATTTTTAAAATCAAACTCACTGTGCTGTGTGTGTGTTGCTAGAGATTGGCTATATTTTCAATACTGCCTACTACTTTTCTTCCTTTTTAGTGACAGCATGGGTTGCCAAGATCCTGAATTAAATGTTCAAGAGTTGGCAGACTGATGCGCTGAATTAAATTCCTGCAGTGTGGATCATTTTAACTTCCTGTCAATAGCGGACTTGCCTTCCTGACATTAATCTTCTGGGTAGATATTAATAACCTTTTTCCCCCAGAAGAAATCTCATTTCCTAGCTACAAGGATTTGCCTGATATTTAAATCTATGACTAAACCTGCTTTAGGGACAGCACTGAAACTGGCAGTGTGGCTTTAAAGTGGGTCATTCAGTTATACTTCTCTACCCGCTCTTCCTCCTCCTCCCTCCCATCTGCTTAGGGAATAGGGAAGCTTAGTTGAAATTCAGCTCAGGAGAAAGGATTCTACAATGGCCAAATCTGACTTGGCAAGAGTGCACAGGGAGGCAGGAAAAAAAGTGCTCATGAACTGAATGCTGTCATCAATGTTTGTAGATTATATTCTGCCAATAAAAAGCCAAAAGGCCAGCAAAATCTTAGGGGAGAGCAATATTTCTCTTCTCATACATTTTTACATGGTTTCAGGCATTCAGAGTTGTTGAGAGTTGGGCAGCATGCAAGTTTAATGAACACTAATAAACTATTACTGCTGGTCACATAATAAACCAGATGTTTAGACCGTATTTGGCATTTTTATCCACCTATCGAGCCTTTTCCAAGGCGGCAGATGTTGTTTGATAGTATAAAAGGTGTCCTTGCAGAATGTAAGCTGCTCCAAATAAAGCTGCCTTTTGCAATTGACTGATGGTGATTTTGTCAATGCCATCGGTGTTCAAGTGGTGCTCCAGATGTTTTGGAATTGCACCCAAGGCACCTATTACTGTTGGTACTATCTTTGCTTTCTTTTGCCACAGTTTTTCTTGTTGTAATGCTTTTTTTAAAAAAATGTTTAGTTTAAACATTGTTTCACAAAGCCTTTCTTTGGAGCATTCACTGTGAAAAAGGCCACATTCTCTGAGACCAGTTTTACAGGGACTAGTGTACACCTGCTCTGTGAAGAATTGTAACTTTTGAGCTTCTAAAGACTGGGCCAGTTGTAAGACTATACTGGCCACTGAAAGACTGAAGACACTGTTGGCTTTAATACTGTTAAGTGCTGGACAATAGTTTGGTCCCAAGACTGTTGATTTATAATAATACCCCTCAAGTTCAGTGAACATAATACTTCTCATAGTAGCTAGGAAGCTGGAGTATTTTGGTTAAAAGCCTTCCATGGCCCTGAATGTATTCAGAGGCTTTGAATACTGTTAACCTTGGCAAGGGGATAATAAATATCTTTTAAAGTGGGTTGAAAGGATTGTTGAGAGATTTTGTGAGTACTTGAAATTGTTTGAAACTCTAGTGTAGAATAGTCATACTAGTGATTGTGGTAAATATCATTTGGTTTCAGCCTCTTGCATTGTTGCTCAGAAATGTATGAAAGTTTACCTGCAAATGAATTAAAAGCATTTAGAATGGAGGCTTCTTATGCTCTTTTAAGACAAATTCAAAGGTCACATATTGTGTGAAAATTCTGAGACTGTGCTAATATTTGAAGGCAATTCCAACCTCTGAAGCACCCAAGATTGGAGAATGCTGGTCTAATAGCTTTTGAAGTATTCATTAAACACTATAGCAAAAGAAAACCTTTTGGAAGTATTGCAAACGTGCACACAATTTATTATTATGCAAAACAGAATCCACAAGAAAGGTCCCTGCTTCAGCAATTTCATCGCTAAAACCACACTAAGCGAATTGCTTGCATTTTGTGCTTTCATTTCCAGGCAATAACTTTCTTTGAAAATGCTAGCGAACAAATGTATGAAAGCTACTGTGTTCTAGTAATTGTTGTTGGCAAGTAGCTTTGCAAAAACATGCTACAGTATATGCATGAAAGAAACGGATGGAATGGATAGGTGGGGATATTACATGCATAACACCAGCAATTTTTAGCGAATTCCTCTCCCTTTCCTCTGTTTGAACTGAGATTAAATGTTCCACACTTGCAGAAAATTTCTTTTTCTTGCAATTTTACCAGGAGAGTGCAATTTCCATTGACTTAAAGATCACGTCAGGTTTTCTGCTGCATGTAAAGGGTCTTCTCCAAAAATGAATTTGGTCAAAGTGTATTTGAGGAGGGTGTTCAGGAGTTTTCAAAGGCAAAATAGATGTCTGTAAATTTTAGATGTTCTCAAAATGCAACAGCAACTAAATGGACAAAGATTTTGGTTTTAGAATAGAATAGAGTAACAGAGTTGGAAGAGACCTTGGAAGTCTTCTAGTCCAACCCCCTGCTTAGGCAGGAAACCCTACACCACTTCAGACAAATGGTTATCCAACATCATCTTAAAAACTTCCAGTGTTGGAGCATTCACAACTTCTGGAGGCAAGTTGTTCCACTGATTAATTGTTCTAACTATCAGGAAATTTCTCCTTAGTTCTAAGTTGCTTCTCTCCTTGATTAGTTTCCACCCATTGCTTCTTGTCTTACCCTCAGGTGCTTTGGAGAATAGCTTGACTCTGTCTTCTTTGTGACAGCCCCTGAGATCTTCATATATTTTAGTCCCTTAATCATCTTTGTTGCTCTTCTCTGCACTCTTTCTAGAGTCTCCACATTTTTTTACATCGTGACCAAAGTTTTATGCACTTTGGGGGCCATAAAAGGGACTAATATTCCACATAGATGTTTTCACCATAATTTCTATGACAGAAAATTATCCAATGAGGTTATTTCCAATGATGGACATTTCTTTTGATATACAGTTAGAGATTTTCTTTTTCCTGCTCTTTCAAATCTCCATAGTTTTGAGTCAATTCTATGCTAGCTTTCCTAAGCCTAATGTTTTATATTGGAGAAGCGGAATTTGTTGAATGAGTAATTGGTGTCTTTTCTTCTTTCTTCCAGTATCTATATCATGGGCTTGGTCTTGGAGTGGATAAAAAACAATGGTGGTGTTACGGCTATGGATAAACTCAGCCAAATTAAATCACAAATGATTTATGATATTATCGACAAATCTAATGGATTCTATGCGTAAGTACTGTAAAGAAAGGGGCTTATAGTAAGGCATGGCTTGATGCCCGAATATATCTGTTCATGTCAAGAAAGAGGGAATTAACTCCCTTAAAATTGCCACTGAAACTTTTCCACATGTTAGAAGCAAGCAAAGAAGTTAATGATCACATCAGAGGCTATGTGCGTCCTTTTCAATAAACACAAAAGAAAGACTATAGCAAACAGAAGAAAATGGCACATGAAACATTACTGTGCAAAGCAGAAATATTTTGGAAACAAATTTAAAACTTTTGTCTGATGTAGGAAGGGTCAGAAAAAGATAAATACTTTTAAAATAAACAAATGAGTCCTAATATCAAGTTTGGTCACTTTTATAGTTTGACCTACCGTTTGGCAAAAGAAGGGAATATAGTTGAAGAGTAAAATAACAAGTTGACAAGTAGGCTTGCAGATGAACAATGTGCTTCACCGTTCAGTTGCCTCTTTTCTTCAATTAATATGCAAAATATGTGTGGAATAGTTACTGTATAATGTAGAGGTGGGTTAACATGTTGCATTTAAACCATGATTGAAGAATCACAATTGGCCGGATGCGCAGAACATGCTAATCCATAAATATAAAGTTTCTGCAGAAAGCCAGATTTTAAAAGGAAAGCAATGATTGGACTAAATGGGGTGTTTATTCCATAAAGCTTGTACAACCCAGGAAACGATTATTTCATTTAAGGAGAGGCTGACAGGTGTGAGGTATGTACCTTGAATCACCTTTCCCCTTCAAATCTGGATCTCTTCTCAATCCTAATAAACTTTCTCAAACTTTTAATAAACTGTCCTGAAACATTTCTTGAAATGGTTCGCAAACAACATATTAAAATTTACGATGGCTTAGTGCAATGTATGAACCCAGACATATGTTCAACTACAGGCAAAAGGTGACAGAGGATTTGCTCTGCCAAGTGTAGAGGAACAGCAGGAGCAGTAACTGGCAGCTTCCACTTCCGGTTCTACTTCTTATCAGTTGGATCTCTGAAGAGGAAGAAATCCACTGTCTCATTATTTCTCTAGGAAACTTCAGCTTTCACCACAGTGTCATGGTCCGGTGTGTGGGGGGGTGTTCCATTTTTTTCAGGCTATGGTATCTGGCAGGTAAAATATTTTTTCTCCAAGTTTCCGATCAAGACGTAAAATTAAAAACTAAATTTTCACTAAAGAAAATCGCCCATGTTCAAGTATATTAATGCTGAATACTAATGTTCAAACACATTTCAATATCAGCCATCTTCAAGTGAAATTTGCTTGTTGCTCTCCCATGTTGGAGTCAGTTTATTCTCAAGCCTGTTTCCCAACTCATTTTTTTAGCATCTTTATTCTGAAATGTGGTAAAACGAACAGTTAAAACAACAGTTTCTTACGGATTGTCTAAGGATAAACTTCAGGGTCTTGGGCTTAACACATTGCACTAATTGTAGGGATATTTTATTTATTTTTATTTATTTATAAAATGTATTGGCCACTGATCTTACCATAGGGTAACTCTGCATGCCTTACAGTTACCAGTTCGATGCTTGGTTTGTTGGTTGCTTTAGGTACAATTTAAAATTTAAAATTCATTCTAAATTGAACATATTGAGCTGAAGACAAAGCATAATCATGTCTCAAGAAAGTATTATGGCTTAAGCCATTCGGCCTTGTCCTTCCACCTATACCAGTGTTGGCGAATCTTTTCGACACCAAGTACTGAAACGGGAGCGTGTGCATGCCAGAAACCGGAAGAACAGCCGCCCAGTGTGCATGTGCGTGCCAGGAAAATGATCTTCTGGTTTCCAACACGTGCATGCGCGCCAACCACCTGGTTTTCTAATTTCTGGCGTGCATGCACACCCGAAGACCAGCTGGCTAGTGTGCATGCGTGCGCCAGAAACTGGAAGATCATCTTCCTGGTGCGCGCATGCACCAGGCAGCTGCTCTTCCAGTTTCTGACACTCCCGCACACATGAAGACCAGCTGGCTGGCGCGCCGGAACCCAGAAGAGCAATGAGCAATGGCTTGTGTGCCTGGAGAGGTGGCTCTGCGTGCCACTTCTGGCACGTGTACCATAAGTTCACCATCACGGACCTATAGAGTGCCTCCTCCTTTTTATTTAGGTGAGGAAATCTAGTTGAAGCTTATATTTGGAAGGACTAGAGAGATTACAGTTTTCCAAATAATTGTTGCCACTTTTTAAAATGTTACTCCTCTAATTTAGTTACTAATTACTGTTTGGTGCTTATAAAACAATTATCTCTTTAAGAGCATGCGTGAATCCAAGAATTTATGGCAATTGCCATGACATTTATATATACTGCTCTTGGAGCCAGAGGTGATACGCTGCTTCAAATTAGACACTGGGGAAAATCAGTAGGACTCAGTCTAGTCTCTCTCTTCTGGTCTCTCAGGGCTCTTACATTAACTAATGAGAATTATGCTTTAGTTCAAGAAAAGCTTCAAAGGCTTAATGATTTTTTAAAAGAAAAATTAAGGACTGTTCACATTAATTAGCCTTTGACTCTGATTCGCAACATGTTAAGTGTTCAGTGCAATGCAAGCTGGTGTGCATAATGATCACGTATGTCCTCTGCATGAGAAGTGCTTATCTGGTTGGGCTGGCTAAGAATAATGAAAGTTGACCTCCAGCATATCAAGTGGACACCAAATTGGAGAAAACTGCTGGAAAAAGTCCTTTTGTTGAGCAGAGTTTTCAAATGCCATGTCATTATCTCTGGAATAGATCTTTGCAGAGAAAAGCAGCGACTGTGACAGAACAAATACCATGCTATTTAGAAACATAACTAGCTCACTAATAATTCAATACATCAACTAATATATATATATATATATATATATATATATATATATATATAATAACAAAATCAATAAGAGCGAGGCGGTAATAGCTTCTACATCTGTGACATTTACAGATGCCCCGTGGAAAAAAAGAGCAGAAGCAGAATGAATGTTCCCTTCCGGATTGGCAGCATTAAGGGTGATGAAGCTCTAGAAAAAGAATTCCTTGAAAAAGCTGTAGAAAACAACATGATATCCCTGAAAGGTCACAGGTAAGACAGAGATTTGTTTAAAACTTTTTTTGTCTCAGGTCTTTTTAGGATATGTCTGGATAAAATGAATCTTGAGCTTGTGGTTTATACATCAGGGGTGGGTTCTACTTACCTTTACTACTGGTTCGCAACGGGAGCTCATACTCTCACTTCGCTCGTGTACCCGCGCACACTTCTGCGAATGAACAGATCATCAATTATGATATCCGGGCGGGTGGACGGAGCCTCTCACCGCTTTTACTACCAGTTCTAAAGAACCGGACAGAACTAGGAGCAATCCACCACTGTTACACATATATGTGTGGATGCATCTACGCATATTCATTCAAGAATGATAAATACCTTCTGTTTTCAGAATTAATGGACAAAAATGTAACATAGAGTTACATGGAGTGATTTCTGACTTTCTGCTGGCTTCCCCACTGAATTTGCTCATGATAAGCTTGCAGGGAGAAAGTCAGTGGAAAAGCCAGCAGGGAAGGTTGCAAGTTGCTTGGATAAGTCTCCCCAGCCACTCACTTTCCCTTAGTACTGCTGCACTTATGCCAGCCACTCACACATCCATATACGCTCTCTCTTCATGCAACACTTTTGTGCACCGTCTCTGACTTCACCACATCACTTTGGCACTCCTCACACCCTCCATGACCCTTGCCCCACCTCTTGCGCATCCAGCAGCAATTTTCCTGCCTGCTGGCCTTGGATTTGCAATTTCCTGCTGGCTTCTCCAATGAATTTGCTAGTGAGAAGCAGGCAGGGAGCTTGAAAATCATAACCGTGTTTAAACTTCCTACTGCCTTCCGCATTGACTTATGGGAAGCTGTTAGACAGTATTGGAAATGGCAGTCACATGACTGCAGCTGACCATGGTAGTGTGGTAGTGCTGAAACAGCCACAACTTTCCCAAATTTCAATCCCATAGAAATAATGGTCCTGGATTTAGGACACATTCTGTAAGTTAGCTCATTTGAATTACATTGATTCAAAAACAGTTGACCTATGATGCACTGTTTCGTCCAGTTGAAAGTTACAAACAGTTGAACAGGCACAAGAGTTTTAGTTGTATATAAATAAGGGTTATAGTGAATGTTTGCTCATGTATCTTTTTTTAAAATATAATTTTTTCACTCAAGCAATAATTTCTGGTTCCCAGAGCAGTTTTGACAGTCCTGGATCATATGAATATGATAATTTCAAGATGAAATACAGATACTGAAGACATACTGGGTGATTCAGGATCCTTTCTTTAAGGACAGTGAAACATATTCAGAAGGGGAAAAGCAGAATTTAGTCACTTTTATTGACAATAGTCTAAAATGACAAATTGTTTTGTTCTGAGGTAAATGAGCCTCATGAAAAATACCCTCTTCTGTTTCTGACCTCGTGATTGTATAATGTATAATTGTATAATGTCGACAACTGGAGATTTTTAACAATTACTTTAGGTTTTAGGATACAGATGTATTCTCTAATAGAGCTGAAGTTCCAGTACTCAGCTGTTCCTTGTTGAAAATATATACTCATCTATAGACATATCCCTTACATGTACACTCTCCATTCTTCTATTCCTGTGCTGTGTCTGTGGAGATTCTCAGTCATCCAGGTCATGATTGTCCAAAGGCGTTTTTGCAAAAAGGAACTGGACTTTCTTGGTTTTTTCCTTAAAAATGTTTTGTTTCTCATCCAAGAAGTTTCTTTAGCTTTCTTTAGCTTTCAAGGAAAAAAATCCAAGAACCCAATTTCCTTTTGGAAAAGTTCCTTTTGGGACATTCTTGTATGTGTTTTTCTTCCCAGTTTCATATTGCTGGAAGGTTTGCCTTGGAGGTTCCTTTTATGCTTATATTCTCGCAGAACAGTAAAAAGTCATCATGGATGAATAAACCTGCTTTCGGTATAAATAAATTATTTTGGCATTTGCCAAGAAATAAATGTCTTTGTGAAACCGAGTCACCATGCACCCCCCTCCTCTCCCCTCCCCATTTTCCTTCATATTTCAGATCTGTGGGAGGAATTCGGGCATCTTTGTATAATGCGGTGACGATCGAAGATGTTGAGAAGCTGGCAACGTTGATGAAAAGCTTCATGAAGCTGCATTCATAACAAACTCAAGTAGATGGCGTTGTGGTGAACCGCTTGTGAAGTAAACCAGCAAAGAATTAGTAACTAGAAAAAAAGTTAATGCAAAATATTCCATGGCATTGTATTTTTGAAACAAAGATGTTGATATTTTTTTCTGGCCAGTCAAATGTGCAAAGCAGTTTTGGCCTACTTGAAGGCACCCAAGCTGCACATTTCACCCTAAAACCAGTGCTTGTTTCTGTGACTGTTCAGTGGTCCATAAAAGAATTGGTAAGATTTTAATTTTTAAACAGATTATATTGGTCATAAGGTACCAAGAATTCTCTGAAACATACAGTCTCAGTGCCACACACAATCCTATCTTGTATAAAATATATTTAAGTATACTTTGTTACATTTCCCCTGATGTTTGTTTTTGCCTTGATTTATTTAATTTAAAGATTAAATCTTCAGAAAGACTGCCATAAGCTTGAGCTGGCCACTTTTTCAATGTCTGATCATTCCAAGTGCATATCACTAAAAGTGCCTAAAGAAATTGCTGCCAATTATGCAGACCACAGGCCTCAATCTGGCAAATATTTTGAAACAATATGCCTAATGAATTGAAGGCCTGGCTCAATTGTTATTTTCTAACTGTTAGCTATAGTTATATATAGGTATATAGGTATATAGGTATAGTTAACTACACCAAGGTGGAGGATTTTTGTTTTTTTTTTTACTTTTAAAATAGTACACTTAAGTCATTTTGGCAATCTTATGTTCTCAGCACAAAAGTAAAAATTCTTTTCCTATCCTTTTCCCTTTTGAAGTCAACATTAGGAGAATCCATGACCTCAATGCCTTCCGTCGTTCCCTTAAAACCCATCTTTTCCAGCAAGCTGGGTTGGCTTAAGAAATTTTTAAATTCTTTTAATTAGTCTGTGATTTCTTAACTTTCGGGCCAAAATTTATATATATTTTTAACTGTTTTTTAATATTTGTATTCTATGTTTTTATCTTGGCTGTACACCGCCCTGAGTCCTCAGGGAGAAGGGCAGTATATAAATTGGAAATTAAATTAAATTAAGTTAAATTACTTTTCATGTTTTTATAAAACTGACCCCAAGGTTCCCCTTATTTGGTCAGATGTATAATTATGCTTTTTCGGAAAAGGCAACTGCAGTAAGCTTCTACACACTTAAGTTCTACACACTTAATTCACAAAATCAAACTTAAAAGATTGGAAGGATCCATGGAGATCATCTAGTCCAACTTCCTTCCACTGCAGAGTTCCTGTCCTCAGTCCTGCATGGTCTCCATCTAGGAGAATTGACCCCCGTGAAACAACTCATATTCTTTAATTTTGAATGCCATCTTCATATATTGTGATCTTCATACATTCTCCATATTTACACCCTCAATCTAATTCTCTCACTTGTCCAATAATGTTTCTCTTAAAAAAAGTAAAACAGTTATAATCTCATAATTAACTATATTGTTAATTTATAACATTGAACAAACTCTCCCCAGCTGCTTTTTTTAAAAAACCAACAACATCACATTATAAGCAGGATTGTAAATTGGTTGTTTGATCAGTTTCGCTTATCAAACAAGGAACAGACCTTCCAACCGAATGCAGAATTTTATTACATTCAATATGAGTGCAGAATTATATTTGGGTAGAAGGCCATATGTTGTGCCCTGGGAGAAGCATTGAGGACTCTATGAAGGTGGGGAAGGTGTCCATCTGCAGAGTAAGCTATATTTTTCTTAATTCCAACCATTTTTAATGGTTATATCATTAGATGTTATACCTCTCCAATCACATCTGGATTTAAAAGCATTACATTTTGAGAGACCTTCTGTCTTCCATATATATTATATGTATTTTATTTGGCTGTTCACCGCCCTGAGTCCTTCGGGAGTAGGGCGGTATACAAATTCAAATAATAATAATAATAATAATAATAATAATAATAATAATAATAATAATTCCACAGTATCTGCCTGTCCTATTATGATAGTTGATATACTTTGGGTCTTTCTATTACAAAGTGTCATCTGATATCGTGGTGCTTGCCATCTGGAACAACATCCCCCTCCCTGAGATTTGTATATGTCTTGTTCAAACCTGGTTCTTCAAATGTGGTATTTCACCCAGCTTTGAGTTAAATTTAGTAGCAGGCTCCTTTGATGCGGTGTTGGGTTTTACTCTTTCCAGATATATGCAATTTTATTTTCCCAGTGTTGTTAATTTGTTTTTAATATTGTATGTTGCTCAGAGTCACTGTGAAATGAGTCAACTTTACAAATGGGATAAATACATTTTAAATGAAAATTGGCTCCTTGAGTTTAAGACTAAAATTGCACAGCATTCATTCAGCAGCTGCATTGTGCACCATTCTGTACAGTATTAACATTATTTAAACATCTTTACTATACTTAATAATATTCCTTGTTTATTTCTTGGCATAAGATCTGAAGTAGATATCCATGTACCCATTTAAAGGTGTGTGTGCTGATTTTAAAATAGCAATGTTTTATTTTTTGTATTCCACTATTAATCGAAAAAATAATAATAAAAAAACTTAAAATAGCTTGTTGTGATTTGATTTTTTTCTAATATAGAACATGATAAATGTAAATTCTTTGAGACTTGTAGGATAATTAGCATTGGTTAGAAAACTTCTTAAACTTCATAAAGATCATGGAAAAATATGTTTTATTCTGACAAAGTTGAACTTTGTTTAGGATGAGAATCTCAACCTTTTTTTTTAGGAGGAATAGCACATTTTGGCTGTGCACCCAGTTAAAAAGTGCCCAAATACCAGAGGGCCATATTTGATATCTAGCATTTAGTTTCCTCAGCCATTTAGTCTCCTCCTCCTCCTCCTGCCCCCCCTCCAAATGTTGTTGACATTTTAATCACCCTTTTATTTCCGTCTCTTGGAATTGTATAACTTTTTTGATATTTTTATACCCACTGAGTATTCCCTTTGGGTTATGCTTTGTCTCTTTCTGCTGTATCATTTGGGCACCCATCCATAAATCTTTCTTTTTTTGGAAGAGATCTTTCTTTTTTTCCTCTGTTCTATTATAAACTTTTAAGGAATTATCGATTTGATTCCTACTTATCAATCCTTTCTCTTCATTATCTTTGTCTTCCTGCATCTCATTTTGATTTTTTCTCTTCCATTCCTTCTAATTTCTATCTATTTTATGAATATCATATTCATCTATCCCCACCCCCAGTTGTTGAGAGGCTTCTACACTCATATCTTTATCTTTAGACAATCCCCTTGTCTCCTTATTGTTTTTTATAGTTTCATGCATGCTTTTGAGCATCAAAATTATTTCTTCATATACCTCTAAAAATTACTCAATATACCTTTATGGTTCCAACATCTCAATATTTAAAACCTCCAACAGAGCCAATTATTAATAAGATTTAGTTAATCCCATAGTTATACTTCCAAATCCCCTAAATTTATAATCTTTAAATTTTACAGCCTTTTGGTTTTCCAGTTATTTGTCTTCCCAATTGTCCAAATTTTAAAGTCTTTTTAAACTTTTCTTCTTTTCTCTTTTCTTCTATCACCTTTCTTCTTTTGCCTCGTAGAGTGTTCTGTTAAATAACATTAATAAACCAAATCCAAATTAATCCACTAGGTTTACTCCAATCTTTCAAATCCACAATCAAATAGCTAGTTTCAATAGAGTTTAGTTATTTGCAATTTAAATTTGCAATTTAGTTCATCTTAAAAATCTTCAAAAAAGAAAAAAAACTCCCTAAGTGTTTCAAAATATCCAAATTGTCTTCTAAAATAGAATCAGCATCAGGCCGCTTTCCAGGTATTGTTTACTTTCTTCTATTATATGTATTAGACATTCCTCACTTTCATTGAAAGTTTTCACACTGTAGTGCTCCTCTTCTTCCAGTAGATGGCTCTCCTGCTCCAACATTAAAAGTATGTCAAAAACAGCTGATTATCCGATAAGTCCAGGGGGGTTTAAAGATACAAATAAGAAAGACAGTTTCTCCCAAAAATCACCTTTCAGATTGTTTATGCTTTTTTCTAGGCTTTCTATATTTTAAAGCTTCCTTTGGGCATTTCTTTCGTCTCTTAATTTTCAGTCTTTAGTCTTCTCTAATCGCCGCTTCCTTAACGCCTGGAAATTATTTTTTGAAATTCTTGCACTTAACTCTTTAGAGTAAGAGTTGGAAGTTATCTCACCCAGCTTCAATGCTCTGTCCATGGACCGCTCCAGCATAAATCTTATGGTCCTGGTTGTCCCAGCTTGCGACTGGCCAAAAATGACCGTCGTTCCTGCTGCCGTTCAGAAGAGCTTACTTCGGACCTAATGATGAAATTGCGAGTTCCTTGTGATCCACGTAGCGCCTCTTCTTTCTTCACCACCCCTACAAGGCGGCTTTAACCCCATAGGGTCTTCCCACAGCAGTTGCTGGCTGGATTTTGCAGGCTCGGCGGAGCCTGCTATTTTCCAAACCGTTCTTGCCATAATGTCAACCGGAAGTCGCTAAAGCCAAATATTGATAGCAAAGCGTAATAGGAATGTCTGAAAAGCATTGGTATAGATACCGATATAGCAGGATGAAAGTTTAGATCTTATTCCATATTTTTCACTAATTAGGTAATTAAGTACCCTTCATCTCCAGTATTTTGACTTAACAGTTTTCATAATTGGTCATACTTGTTGAGACTGATGCAATTTAAAATTCAACTGTATTAAGAAGATACTATCTCAGATTGATTGATTGATTGATTGATTGATTGATTATGTACCATCAAGTTGGTTTTGGCTCTTGGTAACCACATGGATAGATTTTCTTCATGACAATCTGTCACTAACCTGATCTTTCAGGTCCCATTGCCATGTAACTGAGTTCATCCACCTTGCTGATGGTCATCCTCTTGTTCTCTTTTCTTCCATCTTTCTCAGCATTGTAGCCTTTTCCAGAGGTCTTCCCATAATGTATCTGACATAGAATAATTTGAGCCTGGTCATTTGTACTTTGAAGGACTCTGGGTTGATTTGTTCAGTAATCCATCATTTTTTTTCTTTGCTGTTCATAGTATTCTCCGGAGTCTTCTCCAACACCAAAGTTCAAAAATGTCAATATTCTTCCTATCTTGCTTCTTCAAAGTCAACTTTCATTTCCATAGAGTGTCACAGGAAATACCATGGCTGGTATGATTCTGATCTTTGTATATATAGACACATTATGGCATTTGAATTTTGCCCCCCAAAGTCTCATGGCTACTCTGCCAAGTGCTAATCTGTGACATATTTCTTGGGGGCTGGTTCCTTTACTATTCATCACTTTAATATCTTGATTGTCAGTTGTAAGGTTGGTGGTTCTACCTGCTGGCATTAGTTTGGTCTTTTGTATTTAATTTTAGCACCATGTTTTTCACATTGACCCTTAATTTTTTTTATCACGAGAGCTTTCAAATCATTTGAATTTCTGGCTATCAGGCCTGAGTCAACATAATTATTGTTTCTTCCTTCAATTTCAAAACTATGTGTATATGTGTATGTGTATATATGTATATGTATGTATAGTATATAGTATACATATACATACATACATATTCATATGTTCCTCCTTCCTTCCCTCCTTCCCTCCCTCCCTCCAACAATGCAACATCATTATGGCTTCTCATGAATATGTATGTATGTATGTATGCATGTATAGTATATATATTGAATAAATTAAGGGAAGATTATACAGATTATGACCCATTATATTCCTTTGCCAATCTGAAGCCAGTCTATTAAACATCCCTCCTTACTTACACTGCTCCCTGTTTGGAGACTTTGATCACAACAAACTTGTGTATTTGAAGTTTTGCAAGCAAGAATTCCCTTTTCTGTGCCAACTGAAGATATGACTGGTGCTGTCATCAATGGCCAATGATGTTGACTAGTGGAATAGGAAGTGATCAAAAGTGCCTCTTGTCTATCAAATCAAAGGAAAATGGTTTCATTAGAGTCAAAGGCACTGATTTTGTGCCTCATGATGTATGTGGCAATTCTCTGTTCTGAGGAGACTGAAGGTATGCAGTTTCATTTCTTTGAAACATAAATTCCTATGTGAACCTTATTTTGCATTATTTTAAAAGGTTATATCCATTTATCTGAAATGCGTAATCTCATTCCTGAACATGAACATGTTTGATATTAAACTGTCTTCCTAGAGATAGCTTTATTTTTTAACAGACATGACAGCATAGATCTTTAATCTTATCTGTCAGCCCAAGATGCACTGACATTAAATTAAATCTGAGAGGTGAATTTAATATCACCTTAAGGTGGCTGAACATGGCAAAAAAAAAAAGAAAAAGAAAAAAAAAACCACACCACATTTCTTATTTTGTGCCTCCAAATTATTAAATGTTAGAAGTAACATTAAAGATGGTAGGATATTTTGATGGATTAGTTTCTGTCAAATTAAGATGAAAACATTATTAGGCTTGGTATTATATCAGCATATGATTAATGTTTGTTATATTACACTCTTCGAATGTTAAATAAAATGTGTGGAAAAAAATGTCTTCACATTTGATAAGGAGGTGCATAATTAAAAACTGAAATGTTACTTTGTTTTTAAGTGAAATCAATCATTTTAATTGGAAAGAAATATCCCTTATTTCTGTTGGTAATTGGACTCTCGATAATTTTAAATGGAGATTCATAACAGTTTGTGATAAATTGGCTCCTTTTAGGCTAAAAGAAGCTCAGAAATTATAATTAGCCCTGGATTACTCCTGGATGACTAGATCAAAGAGATTGAAGGAGATAGGAAGAAAAGCTGTTTAATACATGAAGATTTATTAGGTTTTAAAGCAGCTCAAGAATATACGTATGTTAGTAGCAAAAACAAAAGCTCCACAATTCCAAGAGGAAAAAAAAAATCTCAAAGAGCATGAAAGGAAATGAGTATTTTACTTTCTGCGCAACATTTGAGCTGAAGAATTTATGTGTCGGGGATGTGCAGAACTATGGTAGCAGGAATTGTTACTAAAATTATTAGAAACCATAATTTGAACAAATATTATTAGCTCAATCTGATGTCAAGTTCATTCTCTCTCTCCTGTCTGTCTCTCTCTTTCCTTCTATCCCTCTTTCTCACTCCACCCCCCAAAACCAGGATTAAAAAAAAACACTAGACAACCTATGCTCCATTGGATCATTCCTTCTTTCTTCCCTCCCTTCCTCCCTACAATGCAACATCATCATGGCATCTCATGAATACTATGGTTGTGTCTATTCAGGTTTCTTTCCAGTTTTGCTGCTCATAGTAGTTATTTCTACCCACAAGTGTAAATTCAAATGGTTTTCTTCTCTTTAATTTCTTACTAGAAAGTCCAGAAAGAAAAGGAGAGGTCAACTATATCAGGGGTGGGTTCTACTTACCTTTACTACCGTTTCACAACGGGATCGCGCGTGTGCCTTTGCTTCGCTCGCGCACGCGCCTTGCTTCTGGGCATGCGCAGATCTCTGATGATGACATCCGGGGCAGTGGGCGGGGCCTCCCGCCGGTTTTACTACTGGTTCATGCAAACCGGTCCG